AATCGTATTATATTTATTATTAGACGTGATTTATTTTTATGAATAATTTTCTCTCGTTAATTTTTAACGTCCTATAATTGTCGTATAATTTTAAAATGACGCAGAAACGTGGCGGTCCTAATTACTGCGTCCGAATACCAGACAACGCTTTTTTGCGAGTAAAAGCACTGTCGAGTCTGTACAAATAGTATAAAAGCGGTGTGACTATAAAAGCGCATTTAGCGAACGTTATACTTAGAGGCTCCTTGATTGTTAGACGTGTGTTAGGTTGTTAGATCGTTTGCTGTACCAAAAAAAAGGAGAAAAAGGCATAAATAATATTCTATATTTAATGTGCTGAGATTAACGAGAAAAGAATTATGAGGAATGTTAAGCGAATCATTGAATGAATGTACACTACAGAATTGTTGTAAATTAAGTAAGAAGAAAGGCGCGTCTCGCGATAGTCTCTACCGACACAAGTCAGACTTACTGCGGATTCGCATAATTTTAAATTACATACAGCGTTTGCGTCACGCGTAATCTTGTTTGAACAAGCTATTGTTTAATGTCTAAGTATACTTCGCGAAAAGATACAAAGGAGTGGATCTAGCACGTCGCGTATACGAGAGCAATATCTTGCAGAAAGAGCTAATTTAATTGTATCTTATACTTATTTAGTAGCTCACGACCTTCGTTTGTTGACTGCCTTGTTAGAAAGATAATTCGCCGTTTTGTTCGACCTGCTGTGATGTTTAACAAAACGCACTGACTGAATAGCCGCCTCATCACTGCCGCGATTACATTCCATGAAGCGTTTATTGTTAAGCTGCGAGGAATTGTTCATATCACACGCTGCAAGTGTCGTATACAACGAACGTTCCTTTTCTTTTTTTTTAAGTATTTTTTATTTAGCATGTAAGAGTATATAGACTGCGCGTAACAAGTAGCTCTTTGTTCGCATCATTTTATTTTAGCGAGTAATGTTAACGCCGTTATCCGACTGATCGTTGAAAACGAGAGAAAATATGGTATGCTTACCAGTGATGAAGAGACTGCCACTTCTTTTCACGATACCACGTGTGTCATCGCGCCGACAAAATTGAAGAGTTCATTTTCAGAATGTCTTGGATTCGTATCTTCGAAGACTTATGCATCACAAAACTCGTTGTAGCTTCTTTTTTCTTCGAAGAAGACTCCAAGACGTTCTGGAGATGAGCCCCTCAATTGATGATATCTTCCACACATATACACATGTACACTCAAGCCTTTTTTATATTGTATATTTGTATTCTCTGTGTAAGTAGCGCCGTATGCGGATGTACAGAATTTTCACAAGAAAAGGAAGAGAATACTTTAAAATTTAAAAATGAGCAAATGGATAAATATTGACATTTTCGATTATCCGATAGGATCTTCAGTAATACAATGATCTTTGTGAATTTTGTACATTTCGCTTTTATATGTCTTTGAAGCACCAATTACTATTTGATATTTGAATCGCAATTTTACATTTCAAAGCTGGAAGTGTAATATATTATTAAATTGATGATCAATTTTGATCAAAAGTGTCAAGCAAGATAGTCATCTAGAAAACAGAAAGGGATCAAGTTCGATCTTGAGCTGAGCTGCTATTTATTGTAGTGTTAACTTTCATTAACTTTATTTTGTGGTATTAATTTCTTATCAATGGGACATAGAATTATTTGAACAATCATGCGGTCAAAAAATTGCGATTCGAATATCAAATAGTAATTGGTGCTTCAAAAACATGTAAAAGCGAAATGTACAAAATTCACAAAGATCATTGTATTATTGAAGATCCTATCCGATAATCGAAAAAAATGTTGTACTTTTTAAATTTTAATAAGCTGTAATTTCTTTATTTAATTTGGAATGAAAGATTCTCCATCGATATCTCGATCATGAATTCACGAGGGCAAGTCAATAAGTTTTAGAAAAACATAGTAAAACATTTTTTTTGATCGATTCATTTTTATTTCTCAACATAGTCTCCTTTCAGCTCGATACACGATTCTCACTGATCCAACGATTCTCCAACTTTTTCAAGCCGTCCGAATAATATGATTTGTCCAACCCTTCAAAATAAGCCTCTGTTTCGGCGATGAGCTGCTCTCTGGTGGTGAATCTCTTTCCCCCGAACCATTTCTTTAGATTTGGAAACAGGAAATAGTCGCAGGGGGCTAAATCTGGCGAATATGCTGAGGAAACAATTCGTAGCGGAATTCGTTGAATTTCGCTTTAATCGTTTACAGAAATGAAACCACGCGATGAATTCCGCTCAAAATTTGACAGTAATCAGCTGAAAGATGCTACTTGTCAAAAAGTAATGTGACATGACACTGCGAGAGCCCTTTGACAGATTTTCTAAAGACTTATTGACTTACCCTCGTATATCTTTTCTTAGCATAACGATCATATATAAGAAAAAAAATGAACAAATTTCCTTTCGGATGATCCGATACACTTCCTAAAATGTGTACACTTTTTCTGTGAAAATCCTGCAGCATCTTATCGGTGTAATAGGCGCGTGTGCGTCCGCGACCAAGAAATTTACTGCCTCTATACAGAAGTGTTTAAAAAAGACTATTGATCATTTATATGATAGATAGTACACCTCATATTGATAAGAATCTCATTTTAGACCGTACATGTGAGAACACAATCAATACGAAATAGAAATTATAACCGTCAAAGCTGGGATCTTTAATGCTTAAATAATTCAATGTGAATTATATGAGGAGCAGACTTTCAAAATACGTTTTGTCCAAAATTTGTAATTTACAGAAAACGAGAAAAAAAACTATGCACTTTACAGGAAATAACAATATGCCAGTAGGATATAAAATATTAAACAAAATTGCTAAACAATTGCTAAAAATGTTAAACAAGTGCATTTTGTTTGTCTCTCTAGTTAAAAAACATAATGAAGAAATGCTTTCTGAACATCTCAGAGTAGCTTATAATATGAGTCTTTCGACACTGAACACTGCCATTTCTAATTAAAAAAATGAAATTCTTGACGAAATACATTTTGAAAGTCTGCTTCTCACATATATACTATATATGTACAGGCATAGATATCATATTTGTAGTAATTCGAACTGCGCGCCGAATTGGTTTTCCGGACTTATAAACGCAATTAAAAATTACTGTAATAATATCACAAATTAAATTGACAAGCAATTTTTTTACTACATCATATTGAGTTAAAAAAACCTTGTTAAACGTAAATCGAAAACTCAATCATTTGTACATCTCACAAATAGTTGAGTCTTCGATCTATGTTAAGATCTTTTTACTAAATATGGTGTGTACTAAGCACATAAATGCTGAAAGTATTTTTTAACGCTCTGTATATACATATACTGGTTAGGTTCGTACATTAACGTTGCCGATGTTGACACAGCAAGCCTCATTCTTCGACGTGAATATACGGCAACCCGACGACTGTAACGTAACTCGTGCGAATTCTTCCAACAGATAATCGGTGTAATGATTTTTGTAAATATCGATAACGTGTCTCTATCACGAGTCTTTGTACCGTTGACAATACCGTTTGTATACCTACATTTCTACTGTATTACATAGTAACAGTTGTCTACTGTTCCGATCGCTCTTTTCGTTGTAGACTCTAATTGTGTCACGCTGAAATCCAATAATCGGTCTAATTGTACCACGAACGCCTCGAGGGAAGGTATGAAACTCTACCCCGATGTGTGCAATCTTGGCAAGAAATAAACAACCAATTTCGTATTACTCCGGATTACTTTCTCTATACTCTACTTTTTGTATGTCGCATACAAGATATGTACAGGATGATCCGAAATTCCTGCATTCGGAGTACAGGACATGATACTTTATATTAAAAGAAACAACTTTTTCCTTTTACAAAATTGCGTCTGACAAGTAGTTTTTGCAAGAGAGCAGGTTGAAGTTATACGCAAAAATTATTTATCGAATGTAATTTTACTACGGGAAAAAGTTGTTCGTTTTAGCATAAAGTATCATGTCCTGTACTCCGAATGCGGAAATTTCGGATCACCCTGTATATTTGGATTATCCTCCAGAACACCAGGAAAAAATCGATTATCATTTAAATTAAAACGCGAATTGTGAAGTGTGAAATTATATCAATTATTATAATACGATGATTAACAGGGGATATTATTGTAACATGATTACGTTATTATTTGCATCATAAGTATATTTTTTGGAATCATATGTGCTTTTCTTTATCTATCTATCTACGGAACTAATCTAAAATAATTCATTATCTTTTTATAAAAAGCAGATTTGGTTTGCATATCTCGTTTGCATATATACATATTACATTATTCCTTACACTAATTTACATTTGTGTACGTATACATAAAACGCCTTACGATATAAACAGTGCTCAGTGCAAGTCTCTAGTCATGGTATTATGATATTACGCATCTCTTTGGTACGCTTTCCCCTAAATGTGTCATAAATAGTGATACTCGGCGTAAATGCAAAATATGGAATGGCTCTTTCGAAGTGATTAGCTTCGCTTGATTCAGTTCTTGCATCTTTAACACGTGAAATTTACGTCACGATGGGAAATATCTCGATAGATGCGTTGTAGATTCCGATTAAGTTTTTTTAAAATTTGCAAGCTATATATGTATAGTTTGCAAATATATATATATATATGTTTTCTATCTTCAACAAGCAAAAACAAAAATATATTTGTACATTGATAACTGATCTATAGATGATCTACAAATACTGATGATACCTTAGAAAGTAAATAATCGTTACATCTATTAGTTATTGCAATTCAACAGCCTATATGCATTTGATATAGTGAACACTTAAGGATCTAAGAAAAGAAATGCTTTTGTGATATTAAACTTTAAACGATTCTTTACGCGTCTGTATGCATGACTTGTTAGAAATGAAGCACTTAAGTGTCTCTCGTGGATTGAAAATATAAAGAAAATGTATAAAACACGATTTTTACAGTTTTAATGCTTTAAACATTATTTTTATGCGTAGAAATATTTCATTAAAGAAGATATTAATGATCAATAATTCTGAAAGAATTACGTTCAAATACCAGTCCTCTGGCATCATTTAATCGCGTTCTATCATATCTCTTTGCACTTTTCTAAATCCAAGAGAGCTATTCACACAAGTGTTTTATTTCTAGTAACTCGGCTTACATACCGTTATCGTTCACTTGTACAGTATTATGGCTTGTGTTACAGAAAGTACTGAAAGTACATATACGTTCTACATCCTACATTTGTCATTTACACGAAACGATAACGATAAAATTGTACAATCAAAACGCGTCTTTGATATTTTGAAACTGTCGTACGGCTAAGTCCACCGGCAGATCGAACTTGTAACTGGTAAGGCGATCCAAGGTGTGAAACGCATCTTGGAAACCTGGAAGTCTCGTTGTGAAAAACAATACTGCTTTACAATGTTTAATCTAATTATTCTAATTATGACGTACCTGTCTTTACAACGTAACTCCACGAGAGATAATAATTTTCCAGAAGACACTGGCATTGCAGGATTAACTTCAGCCATATCACGAGTTTATTCGCGCTGAAAATACAACGGTTCGATAAATTAGTTGTTATTTATAATTAACAGCTAATTATGTCATAAATAGCTATGATAGACAATTTAATAGTTTGACTGCAACGCAATCGTATTATTCACTCACTTCAAAGCTGCGCATACAAACGCCTTAAAGTGCGAGTCGTAACTTCTCTTGTAAGGACTATGAGAAGCGATGATATTACCTATAGTCGTCAGTAAGCTCTAAACGAACAAGATGAGAAGCAACATTAAACATATAAAGACATAACAACATTTTAGAAAATCCAGAAAGTCCAGGGAATTATATAGGCGAGAGAAGTTAATCTTCAAAAACTCTATTACGATGATCGAGAATTGATTTTCTACTTCATCTCCTCTCACCAATTAGTATTAGTTTCCTAAATATTCTAGTCTCTCGCCTAGAGGTGAGAATAACCTACCTGCTTCGAGGAAGCTATTCTCCCAGCCGCGAGGTCCAGATTGAAGCTCTGCGACAACTTCTGCGCGGGACTAGAATTGTAACGACGTCCGTTTTTTATCTCATAGTACTTCAGTATCAACTCCCAGGCGTGCATGAAGTTCGCCGATGTGACGTCTCGTTGCGGGAAGCAGCTGCCGAATGGCACTACGCTGGACCCGGAACGCATCACGTCCACGGTCAGGCCATGCTGCACGAGATCCCTGACCGAGGTGGTGAGGTGTTTCCTCACGGCGGACGTGATCTTCGCGTTCGCGTGAGACGACGAGTCCGAGTCGGACGTGTAATCGTTGTCGTTGTCGTCGGTGTCGTCGATATCGTCCTCGTCGTCGGGATGACGTTGCAGCTGTTGTTGTCGCTGCGACGTCTCCGCGATCGTCTCCAGCACGTGCTCCACAGCGATGTCCAATCTGGTGCGCAGGTCGCGCCAATTGTGCGCCGGGTTCCTGCTGTTACCGCCGAAGTTCCGGCGTACCCGTTCGCTGCCACAACCCAGCTGCGATATCAGGAACATGTGCAGAAGTCCGACCACCTTGCGTACGGTGTTTAGAGTTTTGGTTTGATTAGCCGCACCCGCTTCTTCCTTGACAGATCTTCCACGTTCGAAACGCCGCTTGGAGCCGTAGGAAGCTGATGAGGCACCGGAACCACCAGCGTGTACTGGACACGCGCACGTGCAGGCTAAAGTTTCGGTGCTAACTTCTCCCTGAAGGTAGTTTATGAAACGCTCCAAGTCGGTGATCTGCGTCTTCAACTGAGAGACCAGCTGCTCCTTCATTTTTAACGGACTGACAATCTATAATACAGATGGATGTATGCAGTTGCTTTAAATAGCATCTTACAATAGTTTGTCCCAAAATCACCAGAAATCCCAACAACCATGACTCATTAATCGACTTATTTAAAAATTATTTCTCTGTAGTAGGAGAATCGCTTTTTTAATCTTTGACTTCATATTATTAAGTAAATTAGAAATCAATTAAAATATACGGATTAATCTATTTTCTTCCAGAGGAAACCTATTCTTCTCTAATTTGTTTTTTATTTTTATGGTGTTAATTATTTAAAAATTTATTAGTTATTGAGAAGAAATTTATGTTTCAAATTGAAAGGACATTAGGTAGTTTTGGGACTAACAATAAGCGTTGATCTCGAGACCGCTTTACACATACTTGACTTATGGCGTAATCGACTTGCCACCTGAGATCATCCGCCGGTAGTTTGCATAGATCATCGACATTGAAGTTCAATTTTTCCTTTAGATGACCTACAAACATCATTACAACCATTATTTTATTTCCTTTTTTCTTGCAGTACAGATTTTCTATCAGCGATCAGTTGGCACTTACTGATTATGATATTTTGCCTCTCCAGGATGACGCTTTGCGGTAGATCGGCATCGCCAGTCTCGTAGGCGTACTTCTCCAGATCCTCCAACTGAGACTTCAACTGGCTTATCAGTTCTCTCTGCTTCGTTCGTTGCAATGCCATTTTGGATTCGACCTCCGCGTCAGTAATCACACCAGTCACCTATAGTTACGTTACATCCGACGCGATTAAAAAGCTATTAAGTGATCGAGCAGTTGTTAAAATTAAATGAATAGCCGTGGAAAAATATCCCCTTATATAGTTTGTTGTGCTACAGCTGAAAGAAAATTTTTTTTAATTGTGACAAGAAACGCAAGCGTACTATTGTATAATCCGCAACTGATCGGAGTGAAGGATCGGATGCGTGAAGGTATTAAAATAAAGTGGATAAATAGAGAAAAAATATGTGGAAAACTTTTATTGCACATTCAGAGATAGTATAAAAAGAGCAGAGAACATAAATATGACTTATATATCTTATATAAACACAACAAGATACATAATACAAAGTAAATAGAATAAAAGAAAAATAAAATATAAAAATGGCTTAAAAATGACTAGAGAGTATAAGTAAAACGATAAAAAAATTTGCTAAAGCAACAAAAATGCCACCAAACAAAGCGATAAAAAATTTTAATAGTACCATAAAGCAGGACTGTCATTTTTTACAACTTTAAAAATTCAAAAATTTAAGAAATTCGAATTTTCTTAGTTAACTCCGAACTTTCAAAGTCAAAGGTGTTTCGAAGCTTCAGTTAACTTTGAAAATTTGAGTTCTTACAGAACTTCAAAGTTGTATAAAGTACAGTCCTATCAAAAAGTAATAATAGTACGGTAGAAAATTCACTCATAGTGAAAAATTGCAGAAAGTTTGCTTTCTAGTGGCTTACGCTTCGACCACAGGATACAGGGGAGATCGGCGTGACAGATCTGCTCTCTAACAATAAGTTATTCGGCACATCCGGTATTCCCCTAAACGCGAATTCCTCCAGCTCCTTGAGCAGCGTCTCCTTCTCGCTGGCTGGCGCGTCCACGATCTGTCGGAGACGGAACTGGACCTATATATATGGATTTCATTAATCAACACATAAGTACAAGGCAGCGATTGCAAAGTGAGTTCGTTTTCGACCATCTCACCTGAGCAAAGTGGGTAGTTAACGCTATCAGAGACGAGTTCAGCATCTCCTGTTCTTCCTCCAGCATCTTTACTCTCTCCATGTCGTATGCGAGGCTAACAACACAACAATCATTCATAATATCACAATTGATTACAGATGCACTTCTACTTTCTTCTCACTACACAATGTGTAACAATACTAATAATGAGTTCTTTTTCTGTTAAAGCAAATATCATCGAAAGTATAAAAAATATCCAAAAGTGACTCCATGTATATCATATATAGTACGCCAAGAAAAAACAGTATTTTTAAATTTAATTTTTTATCCTTACCATACAAAGGAGATATACAAGTAATCTTCGAAAACTAACGAGAATATCCATCAAAAAGTGACTCCACATATAATAATATATAGTAAACAGAACAGCAGGCAAAAATAATACTTTTTTAATTTGAACTTTTACGCTCATTTAACATAAAGGAATCTCGGAAAACTAATAAATACCCATCGAATCTCGAGTAACCCAGTCAAAGCATATGTTCTTGGAGAATCGCTCAACCTGAGTTATCCAGCAAGTGTTTTGAGAAGGAACCAGGAGAACGAGTCAGGTGCTCTTCGCAAACTTACTTCTCCATGCTGCCGTTGACATATTTGTATTCATCCGCGAACTCGTCGCCGTCGTTCGCGCCGACCGGGGCCCACCTCTCTCCGGACGGTCTGCTCTCGCTACTCTCGTCCGAGTTCTCGACCTCGTCGCTCTCGCAGAGCGCCGCCCGCGAGTGTCGTCGTCGTCGTCGCCGCTCGTCGTCCATCGTCTCCCGGTCGTTGTCGCACGGTGCTTCACCTACCTCCTGCTCGACAAGCAACGATACACGGGCATATTGATCTGCAGACTGCGTTATCGCGTCCTCGACTCCTCGCATTGCGTCGCGTCGTCTACGTACCATGACAGCAATCCCGATGTCAACCGTTGCTCTGTACACAATTTGCTCCGCAGCCCCAAATCTCCGAGCGAAACGAGCGTTTAAATCCTAAACTCCTCTCTCATGACCGAATCATTATTAATTGACCACCTGCGCACGTGTACACGACTAAGACGCCAGCAGACGTCAGTGGTACAGGTCCACGCAAAAGTGAATTAAATGAGCTGTCAATGACGTGCCATGGATTTGTATAGGTATTGTAGATAGACTGCGCATTCATGGGCGACAGCTGGCGACAGCTGACGACATATCAAAGGACGAAGATATATGTATATATATATATATATAGATATACAGCCTATGTTATATATATATATACAGGGTGTCCCAAAAAGGTCGGGACACCTAAATATCTCGGGAAATATAAGTTTTACAGAAAAGTGTTTCAGACAAAAGTTATATGGTTTAAAAATATCTATTTATTGATCCTATCAGTTTGATCTTGAGTTGCGTAGCCAAGGTCAGGTCAAGGTTACATTGATTTTCTTAAATGGATCACCCTATTTTTGATTCAAGAATCTAATAGCTGATGTCGAGAGCTTTCCAAAATGCTATAATGAAATATTTTTTCATGAAGTACTTTTCAAGTTATAATGCTTCAAAGTTACAGTATCGCCGGCATTAGCATTACCCAAAATATTTAATTTTGGAGACTGACCAGTCAAGGCGAGATCGGTCGATGGTCTGTGAATCTTGACCTTAACGCACAAACAAAAACATAACGTAGGTGGTATTATGGCTGGTTTATGCTTCAGTCTTAATCTTAGTCTTAAAAGTTGGCAACATAGAATGCCATAAGATCATTTATGCTTCCCCAGTCTTAACCGTAGTCTTAATCTTAGTCCCAGAAAGTTCCTATCTTTTAACTTAGTCTTGCTATAGTCCTAATTCCTTAAGATTGAGCCAATGAAAGAGCAAAGATGTCGGACGCGGATTTAATTGAATGTAATGAATGTAATGTAATGTAATATAATGTAATGTATTTAATGAATGTAGTAATCCAAATGTCAATATTAATATTTTACGTCGCCGATTCATTTTGCTGATTCAGTTTGCGGTTATGTTTCTTTAC